ACACACAACATCACCGTGTCCTATTTACCTGCGTCCCTTACGCCTGGTGGTGACTGTCGCGGATCTACCTGAGGACCTGGGGCGTCGCCATCTCCTAGGTGTGTCTTGTTTGTTTATTCGTTTGTCTGTTTGTTTAGTTTTAGTAGAGGTTTTACGGCGCTCGCAACTGAATAAAGTCATATGACCGCCAGAAGATTAGAGGCGTTACAAGAGAGTAACAAACATAAAAAAGAAGAAGGGGAGATAAGGACGATAGATGTTTGATAGGAAAGAAGAAGCAAACCACACCAGGACACCACCCGCCAACCACCCACGTTTGTTTGTTTGTTTGCACGCTTGTTTGAGAAAGGAGAAGTACACCAGCAAACTGAAAGCTATTTTGAACCTGGAAAAAGCAAAAGGGATAGACAGACACAATAGAAGGAGAGTAAAGAGACGCACATAAACACCAGAAGTCACTTAGTAAATAGACAAAGTGAAACGTGTGCACAGACAGAAACAACAGCGGGGAAGAAATGAAGAGCGATCTACCAAAGGCGCCCTCTAGCCATCTGCTCCATGCTGCACTATGTTTGTTTAAGTAAAGAGAGGTGAATTAGCCATTTCGTGCTAGGAAAAAGCAAGATTAACCGACAGACTTTTCAGAAGGAGAGTCAAAGAGTAGGACCTATCAGGGATCCCCTTCAGTCATCCATTCTTTGGTGGTGTCGGCGGTTGCCTTTTTCTTCTGTGAAAGTTACCCCCTATCTCTCTCGCTAGGTGTTCTTCGACCTTCTCAAGATGTGAAAGGTTTCGACAATGCTTTCCATGTGTGCCCCACTTTTCTTCTAAGCCTTTCTTTTCCTCTCTCTGATCTGTTGCTCATCATCGTGTCCAAAAACCCGACAAATACCTCACAATATTTTCGTAAGTGTTCATAACAGTATTAAGTATGTAAAATACAACGTCAAAAACATATCCTGACACAGTTACAGGACGCACCAACACCTAATAATAAGAAAGTGTGTTGAAATTGTTTCAAAAGCGTTAAGAAAGCAGATTCTTGTCACGTCGAGATTACAACGTAAAGCTGTCAGTCGGGACAGCTTAATGGATGGATAATGTTTAAAAGGAATTTACTGTAAAACAGTCTACATTTGACTGCACAACTTTGTGGTTAGTGTTATATTGCTGCCGTTTCTTGTCAGACGCAGCATTAAATTAATGTGAATTTCACTCGCTATCGCTCACTGTGGACATTTAAATTGCAAACAATGCTTCTCTGAATGGGGGAGGTGTATATGACCAAAAAAAATTAGATTCGCAGAAAAAAAGAGTCGAGGAGAAGCGGGCTAGAAAAGACGATGGTTACTCCTTCCCTCTTGTTTATCTCTCTCGCAGTTGTTTTATTTTTTTTCTTATCTCGCCAAGAGAGGGTATATCTCCCTACTCC